CTTTGATGAGAAAAGTCCTCAAAGGAAAATGATTTGCCAATGTGGAAGAGGTGAAACAAAAAAGAGGCAGAAACACTAAAAGGCATCAAAATTGACCAGTTCAAAAACTGTTTTGAGCAGTGGAAAAAGTGTCTCGCTAGGTCTACTGCATCAAATAGAAAGTACTTTAAAGGTGACTTAAGTTTAAACATGTAAGAATAAATCCATAAATTTTATAAATAGATCCAGGTTCAGATTCGAATTTCTTCACCCAATAACTATATAACCTTGGGCAAGTTAATTACCATAATTTCTCCCTGATCTCCTCATCTCTAAAATGGGAAAATAATATCTATTTTACACAGATGTTAGGATTAAATGAGGTAATAGGCATAAAGCAGTTGGCACAATTCCTGGCACATAGTAAATACACAATAAATGGAAATTCAATTCTCCTATTTTCATATTATTGAGATCATGCTCAAAGTTATGAACTAACCTTTAAATAGTGCTTATCATAATTTATTATGTTCTGCAATCTTTTTTTTCTTTCTTTTCTTTTTTTTTTTTTGAGTGGGAGTCTCAACTCTGTCGCCCAGGTTGAAGTGCAGTGGCAATCACAGCTCACTGCAGCACGACCTCCTAGGTTCAGGCAATCCTTCTACCTCAGCCCTTGAGCAGCTGGGACTACAGGTGCACATCACCTTGCCCAGCTAATTTTTTGTATTTTCTGTAGAGATGAGGTCTCATTATGTTGCCCAGGATGGTCTCACACTCCTGGGCTCAAACGATTCTCCCACCTCAGTCACCCAAAGTACTGGGATTACAGGCCTGTAATCTTGATGAAAATAGTATCTTGTTAGAAAGATATATAACTGAATCATTAGAAATTACTGCAGTACACCTAGCTCTTCATAACACACAGTCATACCCCAAACACCTTTCATCAACTATTAGCAACTTATCCAATTTGGGTACCTTGAGGAAACTAACAGCTTTGTGTGACAGACTTACAGAACACAAATCTATAAAATGATAACTAAATCACTTATTTTATTTTATTTTTAATAGAGATGAGGTCTCACTATGCTCCCTAGGCTGGGTTCAAACTCCTGGGCTCAAGCAATCCTCCCACCTCAGCCTCCCAAAGTACAGGGATTATAGGCATGAGGCACCGCACCTGGCATTGAATTCATAGTATCTAAGCTGTCTTTTGAGGTACAACTATATAAATTAGTACAGTCATGAATATTCTAGGGCTAGCCAGCAATTCAAAAAATTCTGAATTTTCATAAGGAACTGAAGTATATAAAGGTGACGACTTCACTTTGTATACTATCTCAATCCCAAAGGAAGGACTAAAAGTTGTCATTTCACACGTTTATTCAATTTTTTCCCCAAGAATATAACGAGTATAAGTAAAATCAAAAGAATTTATTTAACTTTATTTACTAAAATTATAAAATCACACTTCAAAATATCAAAAATATATTAAGCCAAAGCAGAAGCAAATTTTGAAATGCAATGTATACTAGCCTGAGAATAGTGCCATTTTCTGATTGTGTCTCTGCATGGTTATCCTCTCTGACTTTTAATTTTCTAGATTACAAATTGTAGGTTCTTTCCCTGCCTAAGTAGCAAGGTAATTTTGAGATTCAAATAATTTAACATTTGAGGGGAAAACTTTGAAAAACTAGTAAGAGTTATTAATATACAACCTCAGGTCAAGAGAAAATTTTTAGTTAAATGAAGTCCTTGTTGAAAGCTAACATAATTATATCTGTTAATAAAGCTATGATATAATAAGCAAAAATATACAACACTAATATAATTTTCATTTTGCTGTAATTCTAGATTAATGCCTTTCTAAAACAGTGCTAGGCAACATTTTAAGAGGATTCTCATAAATCTGTTTGTCCCTGATGATAGAATTTAAAACATACCCTCCAAATCAGTACCTTAAAGGTATGTTAAAAAATTGAATTTTTTAGTAACTTTCTTAAAGAAAGTAACAGATTTTTTAAACTTGCTCTTTTATTAAGTTAAGTTTTAAGTGAATAAATTATCACTCAACTAGAATATTTCTGGCTTTAAAAAAAAATTTAAGGTGATAGGAACACTGTAGTGTCCAAAAGTTTTATGGTCACAATAGTTGGAATATGTAATTTTTTAATTCTTCAAACACATATAAATTTAAGAAAATGATGAATAAATAAATTTAGGGAAATCTCAAACAACAGAAATTAACTCTTCTTAATGGAATATGGGCACACTGTCTCCATGTTTCTCTAAAAATTTTTGGTGCCAATTTATGAAAGCAAAAGAAAGACGACTTATCTTCTCCAAAGTCTTGTAAGTATTTCCCATTAGGCCCTTTTTTGCCTATTGACCAAGGTTTATACAAGTCTGGAAATTTTGTCCCAGGAAAATACATGTGAACTGCAAAGGAAGATAAGACCTACACTAAAATGTGATTTATATCTTTTTAAAATAAATGTGCATTCCACATACTGCTAGCTTGATATTTCTAAAATTCTTAACGTTTTTCTTCATTATTTACAAGACTGATTTGAATCATGTGTTTTCTATTCTTCTTCTCCATCTTATCCAGAAATCCGAAGGCCAAACCGTCCTCATATAAAAGCCAAGATACTTAGTTCACCACCTTTAGACCCCTGAATGCAAATAAAATGGTCTAAATGATTGGATATAAAGGAAAAGGAAAAAAGAGGAGTCAAGGACAATTCCCAAGTTCTGATTTATATGGGGGAGTCATTTACTTGGAAAAGAGGGAATAAAAAATGGCACAAGTCTGAGAAAAGATGATGTGCTCACTTTGGAACAAGTTGAGTTTAGGACTCCTGGAGCTTAGGAAAAAAGTCTGGACTAGCTGGCAGTTCACCACAGAAACATGCACACACACAAACACACACACACACAGCAAAAACCATATTAAAATTGTATTGGGACTCTTTATTTATATTATATTTACATTATGAACACATTATCTAGCTGTTAACAATAGCCGGCAAAAAAAAAAAAAAAAACAAACTATTTTTCTGAGAGAATAGAATACCATACCTAATCAGAAAAGGGGCAGTCATGGGATGAGGAGACTGATGATGAGTCTGTTATTATTTGGTGAGGAGTTGAAAGCTTCCTTTCAAAAGAGTAAAACATATTAGAAGGGCATTCCTTTAATGAGCCCCTTTGTTTAGATCTACCAGCAAAGTAAGGGATTAGTTTATCTGTACTGAGAAAGAAAGCTGCTAGAATCCAGGAGAATGACAGTAAGTTTCTTCATAAATTATGGATGGTAGACCGGGCGTAGTGGCTCACACCTATAATCCCAGCACTTTGGGAGGCCAAGGTGAGAGGACTGCCTGAGCCCTCAGGTTCGAGACCAGCCTGGGCGATTTGGTGAGACCTTATCACTGCAATAAATCAAAAAATTAGCTGGGCATGGTGGCGCATGCCTGTAGTTTCAGTTACTTGGAAGGCTGAGGCAGAAGGATCTCCTGAGCTCAGCAGGTCGAGGCTTGTGGTGGCCGGGAGCATGCCACTGCACTCCAGCCTGGGTGACAGAGTGAGACTCCAATTCAAAAAAAAAAATTAAAAATTAAAATAAATAAATTACTGATGCTAAGTTGTCTGATTCCAAGATGTTTTAGAAAGTTAAGTTACAACAGGTATGCTCTAGTAAGAAATGTCTCGTTAAACTTAGCTTTTTATGATTTTTACCTTTGTAAAAGAAATGCCCTTTTAAAAAATTAATGTGCAATATAATGTTTGAATGATTTGACATAAGTTCTCCTTTTATTTAAAAAATAACTGTGTGGCAGCTGGGCACCATGGTTCACACCTGTAATCCCAGCACTTTGGGAGGCTGAGGCAGGAGGATCACTTGAGCCTATGAGTATAAGACTAGCCTGAGCAATATAGTGAGACTTCACCTCTAAAAAAATATATAGATATATATTAGCCTGGTATGGTGGCACACACCTATAGTCCCAGCTACTCAGAGGTTGAGAAGAGATGATCTCTTGAGTTCAGGAATTCAAGGCTGCGGTGAGCCATGATCATGCCACTGCCCTTTAGTCTAGGTGACAGAGTGAGACCCTGACTCAAAGAATAATTTATAATATAATATAGTATAATATAATATTTAAAATAATCATGCAGAAAGTTAGCAGATTTTATCTGGGTCATAGCATAAAGCACTTATATATACTGTCATTCAGATTACAGTCCATATAACCAAAGTACTGTCAGGCTAATAGTAGGCTATTCTAACTGAAAATAAAGTATATTCCCCCCAAATTTTTCATTTTAGGGCTAGAACTATAAATGGTAGCATATAAAAGATATGTTATAGATCATAAATTCTTAGTGCAAATTCCTAGGTTTCAGTCCCAAACTCCACATATAATTATTTTAGAAAATACAAAACAAATTATTCTTGTTAGACAATCGTCAAACAAAATCAGTTTTCAAATTAAACTGAATATTTGCTAATAAAAACCTGAAAGCAATATTTTAACATCATCTTCTTTTTTAAAAAATGCATTTACATACAAGAAAGCTCACAAAGTCAAAGGTGATGAGGATCTACACATAACACTCAAAAAGATATTAAAGATGCAGAAAATACGAAATATATATACACTTATTTATATGTGTCTACACACATATGTGCATGCATCTATATCTTCATTTTATATCATAAAAAATTCCTAAAAAGTAATATACATGAATCAAATTATTAAAAGTAAATAAGTTAAATGTACTAAAGATACTTGTTTAAAAATATAACTCATGTCATTGCACTTAATGAAGTGCAGAATCATCATCTAACTTTCTAAATGAAGATTAGTAACTTCAAGATTTGCTTTTAAGTGGGGCTCACCTACATACGCAGATCATCTTGGATAAGATGATCCAATAATCTTATCTTTAAGCATAATAAATTTATATTATGTCAAATGTGGTAAGTTGAATGAAATCAATACTGAACAACATACCTTTCAGAAAAATTAAGGCTTTGGTGAAGAGGTTCTAATTTTTGATATGTCTCTAGGCTGTCAACAGATGTCGAAGGCAATGAGTCTGATTGTACCTTGTAGGCATCACATAAATTAGCATCGATTCTAGGTAGGGTCTTTCTGAATTTTCGTCCTAAATCCGTCCATAGGACATTCGTCAACATAACTTTGAGTTGCCTGTTACACACATAAATAATTAATACATATGGCACTAAACAATGTGTAATACATGAGTTCATCACAACTGTAACAAATTAAAATCTTCAGAGATTCTAAATTACAGTTCTTCAAACAACTAACTAGAGTAATAAATATCATAAGTTTAAAAAACACCTAACCATTCTCAGATACACACTAAAAAGTAAGGTCAATTTCACAGTTCAGATTTTTTTCAGAACTCAGTCAAGTCTATACCTGTCATCACACATGTAAAGCTGCAGGATTTCTTGCAACCCATCCATGCTTACAATGTTAGTGGAAGGACAACATGTATTCACAGATCTCATCAAAGATGCAACCACTTAAACCTAAAAATGTATTTGTTTCAGCATTTGTGGATTCTTAAATATTATTAAAACTAAGGCTGCGAGAGCACATCATTTACAGTCTTAAGCCCACACAGTCTTAAGACACAGATTTAATTTTACCTTATTTCTAAAGTAGGTCAATTTAAAGCATTTACTTTTACCACACCTATACCAGTTTCAAAAAGAAAACTGATAAAGGCGAGCAGTTCTAGCTTTTTGCATTATCACATTTTTCCCATCTGCTCACTAGATTCATCTCTGTACTGAATAACTTGAAAAACTATGTTCAGTTCTGGAATTCCAAAAACCATGTAATATAGTTTTTGCAGTGGTGTGACTAGGTTACCAAGTAGACTTAAAACAATGTAAAAGAGCAATGGCTGAAAGAACTGGAAAAGGTTTAATCAGAAGAGTGTCTGGTTTACTCTCTGATAAGCAGTTTTAGGCACTTTTTTTTTGGTTTTTGTTTTTCCTTAAGAGACGAGATCTTGCCATGTTGCCCTGGTTGGTCTTGAACTCCTGAGCTCAAACAGTCCTCTTGCCTCAGCCTCACAAAATGCTGTGATTATAGGTGTGAGCCACTGTGCCTGGCTGAGTTTTAGGCACTTTTTCTTTGTTTGCTTAGCAAATACAAAAATATTAAGCAAAATGTTCATGCATTTTCAAGATAAAACAGGAGACCTAAAAAAAAAAATCACTTATTTGCAGCAGCCATTTGAGGATATATCACCTAACTACCTAGGAGGAGGAGGGTACAAGTCCTCAGAGAATGCCTACACAATGCACTGAAACGCCAAACACATTGCATTAAAACAAGTTTAAGCTTTGGTCTTAAAATTATTATTAAAGAGTTAAGAGGTGAGTGACATCTCTACGAACGCATTTAAGCACTTAGTGAACATCTTCTTGCAAAACAACTATGCTAACAGGACCTGAAGAGTCAGCAACAATGAAAAAGTGCTTGCCTTCATGGAGTTTGCATTCCAAAGAAAAATAAACCAATTCAGTATTTAGTTACAATTCTAGTAAGTAGTATGAAGGACAAATACAGATGCTGCACTTCTGAGCCAGGTCAGGGAAGCTTCTCCCGAGAATGTAACCTTTAAGCCAGTCAAACAAGGACAGGCACTAACCAAAGGGAACAAATGAAAGGTGGAGAAAGGTCCAAAAAAGGAAGCAAAATGCAAATGCTGTGGTATGAGTAAAGCTTGTTCAAGGAAATTTAAGGAATTGCCTCACTCAAGCGCTGAGGTGAAGAGGAAATGTGTACAAGAATGGGCAGTTAGGCAAGATACAGTGAACTATATTAAGAATCTGAGACTTTATGTCAATAACAACAGAAACTCACTAGGTTTAACAAAGGTGCGATGAGATCAGAGTTGCATTTTAAAAAGATCATTTTGATCTTTATGAAGAATAAAATGGGAGCATCAAGGATAAATGGGAATAAAAATAAATTTAAAGGGTAATGATGACTTTATCAGAGGTAGTTTAATACAACAGTGGAAGCAGAAACCAGAATACAGTGGAATGAACAAAGAAAAAGGAGGAAAGTGACAACACAAATGTGGGAGAGTTGAGAAAAATGACTGTGGAAGTGGGAGATAAGAACTGAAGACAGATGTGAGATGCAGGAAAGGGCTTTTAGTTATTAGTTGGTTAGTTAGCTTAAGACAGGAAAGATTTGTGTAAGTTTAAGCACTTAGGGGAAGAAAGCAACAGAGTGGAAAAGGTTGAAGACACAGAAGGCAGGAAAATTAACACAGTATGGGCCCTAAGAAATGGCAAAATAAGAGCTAATTTTATTCAACAGGTACCGTCTACCAGGCAATGTGCTAAGCATTTTACAATGACTTTGTTTGATCCTCACAACCATCCTATGAGTCCTTCTAATTATTCTTCTTCTGCAGTTGAGGAGACCACAGTAGAATGATTAATGCCTAAGCCCACTATAAAATGAGTAGTGGAAGTGGGATCCTGAGCCATACACTTTTGATTTTATCTCCAGAACTCTCTACCACTACCACTGCTCCACTACACTGGCTTATGATAGAAGAGGCTCTCCTCTTTCCTTGTTCCAAGAAGGAATCAAGATCATATCTTAAAAGTGACAGGCCAGGTTAGGTGACTCAAGATTGTAACCCCAGCACTTTGGGAGGCCAAGGTAAGGGATTGCCTGAGCCCAGAGGTTCGAGAACAGCCTGGGAAACTTGGCGAAATCTCATCTCTACGATAAATCAAAAAATTAGCTGGGCGTGGTAGCACGCACCTGTAGTTCCGGCTACCTGGACCCAGCAGGTCGACACTGGGATGGCTGTGAGCATGCCACTGCACTCCAGCCCAGGTGACAGAGTGAGACTCCAACTCAAAAAAAAAAAGTGACAAAATAAAAGGTAAAAGATCATAGTGTGACATGAGAAAAGCTTCAAGTCATTCTACCAAAAGGATACCTGCACACGCCAAGTTTGTTGCAACTCTGTTCACAGTGGTGGAAACATGGAGCCAACCATGCTGTTCATCGAAGCAGGACTGGATAGGTACATATACATGATGGAATACTGTGAAGCCATAAAGAAGGACAAACAGATGGACTTTGCAGCAACTTGGATGGATTTAAAGTCTATCATATCAGTGATCTATCACAGAAACAGGGAACGGAGTGCCATATGTTCTCATTCATGGGCAGACATTGGACGAGGCGGGATTGGCAGCTTAGGGAAGATGCCAGAGGAGGGAGGGGCACGCCTCATCTTCGTGGGTGCCTGTATGATGAACATTTGTGTGCTTGACCCTGAATTGTACCCCAAAGCTTTAAAGTAGAGGAAAAAAAGTTTCAAATAATCATTGTGAAGAAGGGAAACACTAGCTTACTATAAAACACAGTAAGACTGCCCTGCAGTTAAGGAATCCCAGTGAGATTAATAATCATATATATATAATGCCACGACATACTGTTTTGTGACTTTTTTCCAGCAGTGCTAGACCTAGGTGTCAGCACAATGCAAACAGATAGTTCAGTTCACAGATAGCTATAAATTACAATGAGGAAAAGGCATTTACAATGGATTAACCAAGTAATCAAACATAAGTCTACCAAAAGTGAAACGATCAGAAATCATGTATCCCCTGACAAGTACAATAACAAGTACATGACATCAGGTGGAAGTATTCTTGCCAAAAATGTAACATGGATATAATCATAGGGGAAACCCAGAAAAATTAAAAATACAGAATGTGGGACATTCTACAGGACAACTGGCCTGGACTCTTCAAAAGTCAATGTCATGGTTAAAAGGGAAAGGGCAGAGCAGGTAAGAAGTATTCTAGAATAAGAGACTAATGGGGCATAAGAACCAAATAAAGTGCATAAACCTTAATTTGATCCCAGATTATTAAAAAACATAAAATACATTTTGGAACATGAGGAAGTTCTGATTATGGACTTCATAGTAAATAATGATAAAAATTATTATTAATTATTATGTAAGAGAATGTCATTGTTACAGGAAATGCAGGTTGAAATATTTAGAAATAAAGTGCTATGATGTCTGCAACTTACTGTCAAATGCTTCCCAATAAAATGTATATATGCATGTATACATGTATATATGTGATACCCAACTAAGTATATGTATAAAAGAGACTGCGAGATGACAAATTTGACAAAATATTAACAGACTATTCTTTTTCTTTTTCTTTTTCTTTTTCAGAGTTTCACTCTGTCACCCAGCATGGAGTACAGTGGCAGGATCATAGCTCACTGCAGCTTCGAACTCCTGAGCTCAAACAATCCTCCTCCCTCAGTCTCCCAAGTAGCTGGAACTACAGGCCTATGCCACCACACCTGGCTAATTTTTAAGTTCTTTGTAGAGACAAGGTCTCACTTTGTTGCCCAGCCTGGTCTCAAACTTCTGGCCTCAAGTGATCTTCCCACCTTGGACTTCCAAGGAATATAAGAGTATATATTATAATATAATATACTCTAGGAATATAAGAGTAAGTCACCACTATTAGGCTATTAGACTATCTTTATAAGGTTTTACAACTGCATAGCTTAAAATTCTAAAAGACCAAATAAAAACACCTATAAAATTTTAAGGATAAACCAAATATAATTTTAATCTAATGGGAAAATTATATGACTTAGTTATTTACTAAACGATTTGAAAAATTATTATCCCAATGGTAATTTTAATAATTTTAAATATGAGAATATTCAACGTTCAAAAAAGCCATTTTTCTATTCACTCAGGAAAAATAAGAATTTATGTTGGAAAACAACAAACCATTGGTAATTTTATTGATTATTCCAATAGTGGGACTCTAAATGAGAAGGACAATTTGGTCTCTCTGGGGAAACACTTATTTTATGTTTGACTTTATCATTATTTGGCTGACTAAAAATATCCTAAAGCATAAGTCAGTAATCTCTTTTCCTCCAAATTAATAAGATTTAAAAAGTTCAACTTCTACAATATTTAAGTACATAAGATTTTTCTGGATACTAGGATAGAAACTTAGGAGTAAAGAGCAACATTCACACCAAGCAAAATACAATCTCAGCTTAGAATTTAGAGATACATACTTAGGTGGCAATACTATCCAAGAAAAATAAAGTAATTACTCTGAAAGTTAGGAGAGTGGTTATGA